CTGGCTGCTCCACCCACCTCAGATGAATGAAATCACACTGTGTGTGTCTTTTTGCAACTGTCCTATTTTCTCTTAGCATAATGTCCTCAAGTTTATCCATGCTATGGCATGTGTCAGAATTTCCTTCCTTTTTATGGCTGAATAATATTCTATTGTACGGATGTGCCACTTTGGTTTATCTATTCATTCGTCAATGGGCACTTGAGTTACCTTGACCTTTTGGCTATTGTGTACAATGGTGCTATGAATATCAGTTATTTTTATAGATACCTTGACCAGGAATAAAGTGTTTCAGCACCACCCACCATTCTAATGACATGAAGTCCCAGCACTCAGAGCTGACCGACGAAAATTAGCAGCAAGATGGAGGTCACTTGGGAGATGAATTTAATTTGATTTTTCTTTTCCTCTTTTTCCTCCCTGTCCTTCTTTCCATCTGTCATGCACCAGTCCAAGACACTGAGCTGGGTGCTAGGGGCCACACAGCATGCTGCACCATGTGCTCTGGGCAGGAGGAGAAAGTCCCCCTCACCGCCTTCCTCACACTGGGGGGAAGCCAGGCTGAATTGTACAGAAAAGCTGCAGCCAGCTGTGGGCAGGGAGAGCCTGATCTATAACCAGCAGATCTGGCACGGCGTGGCCCAGGCAGGACCTCGACAGGAAATGAGGCCAAAGCCTTCCTGATGGATTTGGAATCGATGTGGATAAGGCGGAAAACGAGAATGTGGCAACAGCTCACTGCAACCTGTCCAAGTGGCTAAAGCACCAGGAAGGTGGGTGGAGAGAGGGAGCACAGAAAGTCCCCATTAGAAAGGGAGATTTGGGCACACCAAGGAAGACCCTGAGTGTCTTGCAAAAGCAGCCCACCTAAACAACAATAAAGTCATTAAGAATATTTTTTACTTTATTGTAAACTTATACTGAAGTAAAAATGGAAGCCCTTCAGACAACAGAGAGGAAGCTGAGACATCGCAGCCCATTTAAGTGTTAAAGTCTTCACAACGTGACAACACTACAGCTGTCATTATCATGATGTCATAAGGTGATGTGTAGTGCCACCCTGGACTGCATGCTGGAAATGAAAGAGGAGAGTGTTAGAAAAACTGGAGAGAGGAAGCTGAGACATCGCAGCCCATTTAAGTGTTAAAGTCTTCACAACGTGACAACACGACAGCTGTCATTATCATGATGTCATAAGGTGATGTGTAGTGCCACCCTGGACTGCATGCTGGAAATGAAAGAGGAGAGTGTTAGAAAAACTGTTGAAATTAAAATAAAGATCCGTCGTTTAGTTAATAGTAATGTTCCAATGTCAGTTTCTTAGTTTTGATGAATACACCACGGTCATGTAGATTATTAAGGATAGGGAAAACTCAGGAAAGGGTATATGAGTGCTTTCTGCAATATAGTTGTAATTTGTCTGTTAAATCTAAAATTATTCCAAAATAAAGTTTATTTTTTTAAAAATTGAAGCCCAAGAGTCCACATTCCTCTCCTTTAATCAAATCAATGTTTTCTCCTCTTTTCCTGTGTTTTGCTCTAATTACTGTGCATATTCATTTTTATATATACTAAATAGACATAATTGACTGTTTTACTTAACATTGCACGTACTTATGTTTCTCCATTTTTATTTCTTGCTTCCTCCTTCCCAGTCTTGTAACACCAGCATGGGACCAGTGCTGATGGCCTGGTGTGTGCCTTACACGCCTTGGTGTGGCCAGTCCCTCAGATGCAAATGTGCACACACGTACACAGAGAGGGCAGAAGTCTGTCCTGTTGAGTTTTACATGTGCTTACATGTCTGTGCAGCTTAGCCCTTCACCACATGAAAATCTCTATAATCAATGGACGTGGGTCCAACTTAACATGTTTCATATCTGAATAATATTCCACGCTAGGTGTGTAGCCAGTTTATTCAACCATTTCCCTATAGGTGAACTTGAGTTTTTGTGCTGGAATACATGTCATTACATATATGCCATGTGCAAATGAGTTTCCTTCTACAGACTAGATGAGCAGAAATGGGACAGCTGTGTGTGTGTGGGCATGTGTGTGTGTATGTGTGCATGTGTAGGTAAATAATAGCCTATGAGATGTTCTTTCCTTTACCTCCTCACCTACAGTGTATAGTTTTCATATGACTTTTTTAATATGATGGACAAAATTGATAAATTTCCTTATTTTTATTTGTTTTTTCATGCCTGAATGTAAGGGTTGGTATTTTTTTTTTTCCTTTTTGTCTTTTTTCGTGACCGGCAACGGATCGCAACCCTCAGTGTCGTGCCTGTACCGGACCAGGACCGGCAACGGGATCACAACCCTCGGCGTCACGCCCGCACCTCGCTCAGCCAGTGAGCAACCGGTCTGTACGTGGGATCCGAACCCTCTGAGGATAATTAAAGCTGTCTACTCCTTTCCATCTCCACTGCTAGCTCTCTTCTTTTGTTCTTTGGCCATTTGTTCATTTTTAAGGAGTGAACCCTGGAAAGCTGATTGGAAGCTCTCTTTTTGGGCTTTTACTGCTAGGTATATGTACAGAGACCCATCCATTTCTTGGGGGATTCACAGCTGTCTGTCCATAAAGATCTTTTTTTCTTGGGCTAGTCTTTAGAGAGCAGTTCTCAAGTCTCCTGCATTAGGGCATAGGGCATGTATATAAACCAAAATGTTGTGTCCTGTATTTGTGCAGGCGAAAAGCTGGGAAGAAGGGTTGTGAGTATCTCACATTGTTCAGTTTGTAGACTTTCACTTAAACTCTTATTTTCACTACTGTGCCACCCTCCATCCTGTGTCCTAATCTTGTTTGGTTCTAGCCTTCAGTTTTCTACAGCATAGGGGGAAGAGGGTTATGTTTGTTTTTTGTTTTGTCTGGAGTAGGAGACAGGCTAACTACTCTATAGGCTTTTAAGCAGCCCTTTTCTTCTTTTTTTTTCTTTTTTGCCTTTTTTTTTCCGTGTCCGGCAACGGATCGCAACCCTCAGTGTTGCCCCCGTACCGGACCGGGGACCGGCAACGGGATCGCAAGCCTCGGTGTTGCTCCCGCGCCTCGCTCAGCCAGTGAGCGGGAACCGGTCTGTATATGGGATCCGAACCCTCGGACGGGAGC